AAAACCGTAGTCTTTGCATCGTGCTCCGGCCGACATTTACCCGGGATCATTTTTGTGACATCTACTATGGCCTCTGCAGATGTAACACAAAAGCAATCAAGATACATCCACGCTAAACAATACCCTATTGGAACAGACACATATGCAGTCATCGGGAACGAACCTGGAAATGGATTTGACGTTTACTTTGAAATTGTCAATCATGTTGGTCAGCGGTGCGCTCGATGCACGCACACTGAGGCTTTGAGTCTGCTGACTCTAAAGGTTATAGATGGGGCAATTGATTTCTTGTACAACCATTCTGATAATCCAAACGCAGTAGTTGATTTAGGAACACTGATCGTTCCGAAATTGTCTGACTCGTCTTACAATACTTCATGGCAACTGTTTTTCCTTGACAAGCAGAGGCAAACAGAAGTTTGTATTGATGACGAAATGTGGCGACGCCTTAAAAGACTCAGGCTGGTACTTTGTGCGCAAATAAAATATAACGTGTCCCTTAGAGACACTTTCTTCCATTATGATGATGTTCTTAAGGCTATTGCAAGGGAAGTGAAGGAAACAAATGTAAAATGTGCATATTATGATCGTAAAAATATGATTATTGATTTGTATCTCGACGAAGTGGACAAGCTTGATTATAGAGAACAAGTAATGTTGCTAGAACTACTCAGCTTTCACAAAAATGCATTGCTGTGGGACTTTCAAATGTGCTTCGAGACAGTTTGTAATGAAGATGATTAATTTTGTATGCACATAACGAAATAAAATAAATATTTTTCATGACACGATTGTTTGTTATTTATGTGTGGCTGTGTGTCCTTGCGTGTGAGTCTGAAGCCTACAGGGTGGGGAGTTGGCCACCCGCACTAATGAAACGCCGAGATGGTCAATTGATACAAGAGGGGATGCAAGGGTGGATAACTCGACCAGTACTTGCGAACTAGTTACGGAAGTGACATGGGTAGTCTAGACATCGTAGATAAAATCGAGTGTATAAAGATTAGACGAAACGTTGAGGCATTTCATTTGCCATACTTTGGTCTCACGGTAAACATGTCGATTGAATGTCTATTTTTCTTGTTTCTCATCAGAACAGTGTTTTGTCGTGCTTTTGAAAAGTGTAACACAACATACTTGGCTTTATCGAGTAGTGATTTGTTTGAAATTAACGATGAGAACAAAACAGATATAGCAAATTCGTCTCCTCGTAACGAAATCTGGATGGCAGGAAATTGTATAATTGTATGTTGTTTTATTGTACTCATGCCTTGCGTTGCACTATGTAGCGTGTACGTCAGTTCTGAACCTCACACAGAGGAGGGAGATGATCGGTGGTATGACCAAGAAATTAGCATTGTTGCTAGCAGACGCGCCAGTGTATAGGGGGGTAAAGTGAGGCGTATAGAGGCTTGACAAAAAAGTAATCATGAAACTCATCGCATTGCGTAAACTTCATACGCCTTTCATCTCTTCAAAATCCCTAATAAAACCCAGATCCATGTAGTGACGGAGGTCAGTCTTGCATTGTCTTCACTATTGTCAGCATCTCAGACGAATCCCCCGAGAAGTCTTTCCAAAATTAGTAACGGCAAAAATAATGGCAGCGAACATTATTCAGCTACGGAGTGGCGGCGAAAAACTCTTACTCGACGGGGAAACATTTTATCATCGTTTGCGTAGCGGAAACAAGCGATACTGGAAGTGTGCGGTAAAATCTTGTTCGGCCACAGCCGTTACTTTAGACGCTCAGGGAGCACGCGTCCAGTTATTGAAGGATACGCGTCATAGCCATCCAGTGTCTTTCGACCATGAAACAGACTTATCTCAGGAGATAGACACTGAGGATGAAGATTTTCAAATGGAAGATGGAGACGAAGAAACGGAGGCCGATGAAGACGAACCAAGGAGCGATCAAGACGAAGAAATGGATAGCGATGGAGTTGAAAATTCTGAAGACGATACCGATGTTATTGATTCCCAAAATGACGTCTCCTGGCAGGAGTGGGTCGAGACGGGATCTGACGAAGAAAACTGCGATGAAAGTGACGATGTTAGTTTGGATGAATATAGTGAAAACTATGATGACGAGAGCGATGTTGAGATGAATTCGGATTCTGATGAGACTGATTTTGAAGACAATGAAAACAATGAATCGGACACAGAATTTGACTCTTTTGAATTGAAGTGTGAACACGAAAAGTCCTACAAGGAAAAAATCCGCTACCTTCGCAACTCCGAAGTTTACTTAAGAGCTG